TCTATCCCAAGGAAGAATACAGATTTCCATTGCTCTCCTCTCCACTGCCTTCTGCACATCTGCACATAAGGCACTGGATCCAGCTGTTCCTCCTCTTCCTCATCAGCCACCTCCAGACCTGGGGGCTGTTGACTCTCCATCTGATGGCTGATGGACGGCCCAGGCTCCATCTCTATCTCTGTCTCTCTCTGACAGCTCCATTCCCTCTTCCCCCTTGGAGCTCTCAGGTTGCCTTGATGCTGACCCTGACTCCAATGCCTCCTCCTCATCTGATTTGGCTGCTGGAGAGGCTGATGGCCAACAGGCTGCAATAGCTTCACATAGCCATGTAGGCTTTTTACACCAACTTATACCAACCATCATGCAGTGGAGCTCCATCACACTAGATCTGATTGAATACTAAAAATTCACGTCATAAAATGTAATGTAAAGCAATACAGGGATGCTCATAGACTAGAGGACAGCAAACATAGGTCAGGCAAATTGTTAGCAAGGCTCTAACATTTGCGTACCACCAGAATAACAATTTTTAATAAGGCAACAACCACAACAAAAATCAGTACACTCACTTTGAAGCTTTGTCCTGTTCCCCCCAAAAAGAAATTGGAGGGTAGTTTGGAACTCTGACTTTTTCAGGAGAATAAGTATTCCATAAATATTAAGCAACCAAAGTGAGGATCTTCTACAGTAGTAGCCGGCAACAGCCCATTACCTGCCTCCTGGCTTCCTCATGAGCATGGTGCTAAAATTGGCTTCAAACTATTAAATAAAGGTGGTGACATTTTCAGTGGGTTTATTACCAAAATAAGAAACAGAAGAAAAATGTCAAACTTCCAAGAGATTTAACAAAGCAATTTAATGTAAGTCCAACCTCAGAACAAATGGAGGGGGAGGAGAGCCTTTTTCCATCCCTGATCTTTTCCTGTCCACTGATACAAAAACAAATGTGGTTTGAGGGGCTGCTCGAGCATTCCCTTTTCCCATTCACCAACTTGACATAAAAAGTCTAATTTGATGGATTTCTGATACGATCCTAGGAGCTTCCATATGTTGCATGTACCCTCGGAACCTAAATGAAAACTTGGCTTATCTCTTCACAAGAATAGGATGGTTTTGGTCCAAAGATTAACTTACCAACACTTTCACTACCAGCTAAATCCACCAGCTGAAGTTTTGTTCTTCTCATTTGCTTCAGTCTCTCCAAAGATTCCCTGGAGAGCTGTGCTGGTGAACAAGCTCTAGAAGAGCAAGCAGAAGTGAAGAAATGTTCTTTACCTAGTTTTTGACTAGAATGGTCACCTGTCCAGGGAGGAGCTGGATAATAATAAGGAAAAAAAGATTATTTTGAACCTGCAAAGTTAAACATACAATAGATTTGAATTATTTCAAAAGATCTGCAGACCTAAGGCTACAGCTGGTCTTATAACGAAAGGCTAGACAGAGGATAATATGATGCCTGCCCAAAAGATATGGATGGTTGCCAATTGTTTACATTTGAAATAGTCTATTTAAGTGATCTTCTGTCTCATTATGGACCTGTCCAGTTGTTAGTAGAAGAAGACCTCTTAAGATAACTCCACTATCAGAGTTTAAAGTGCTTTTGTTGCACTATTGTTGTGGTATGGAAAGTATTCCTTAGGAATTATATATTGCCCACCTCCTACCCCCTGCAAACACACACACAACTGTTTCAATGTTTAGGAAATTTCAGAAGTGTCTACAGAATCAAATGCTTTTAGCAGCTGCATGCCATCATAGGGCAAGATCACAACACGACATGCAGAGANGGTGGGCCCTCCGGAGCACCCTACTGCAACGGTACCCAGTGCTCAGGGCAGGCTCCGGTACGCCTGTACCGGGGCATACCGCCTGCGACCCACCACTGATTCTCAGTCATCCAGGTCATGGTTGTCCCAAAGGTGCTTTTTCAAGAGGCAACTGGACATTCTTGTTTTTCTTTGAAGACGTTTCACTTCTCATTGAAGAAGCTTCTTCAGCTAAAGAAGCTTCTTGGATGTGAAGCGAAACACCTTCAAAGAAAAAGCAGAAAGTTCAGTTGCCTCTTGAGAAAACACCTTTGGGATAAGTGACCATCATAAAACCTGCATAAGGAAAATTGTAAAATGTACCTCGCCATCAGCTCAAGACACATAGCTTGAAAAACTTTCAATGGAAGGAGATAATTTGAAATCCATAGACTATGTATTTGCCTACAACATGTGCAAAGTTAAGTAGAGAGTTTCCACAATAACTACCTGGGCCAGCTGTCTGGCAGCTTTACATACATTGTGGTTAAGCTTTTGACTAAGTGTGAGGAGACTCAGACCTTTATTTGAAACTGTGCCCAGCAGCCGAGAAGAAAAGCCAAAGGTAAACTGAGACTGATTATGAATATCTTGGTGAAAAAGAAAGGATAACAGATAGCAATTTCACCTATTTGCTTTCTACCAAATTGGGATTTAGTGAAGGTGAAGCAACCATTTTGAGAACAGAAAAGTTCTCCCTATCAGCAATTTTCTTTGATTACTACTTTGTACTTTATTATTTCACACTATAGTATTCTATTGCTTTTAATCTTGTAGTCTAATGTAGCTCAATTATGGGTCCTAATCAGATAGCAATAGCACTTAGACCAATATATTGCTACACAGTGCTTTACAACACTCTCTAAGCAGTTTACAGAGTCAGCATATTTCCCCCAACAATCTGTTTTCTCATTTTCCCATCCTTGGAAGGATGGGTCAACCTTGAGCCAGTGAAAATCAAACTGCTGAACTGCTGGCAGCCGGCAGTCAGCAGAAGTAGCCTGTAGTACTGCAGTCTAATCACTGTGCCACCATGGTTCTTGCAAGAGCCCTAAAGTTGGAAACTGGCTCCTGAATGCTATAAAGATTTCTAAACACAATGGGTCATATTTGCTTATTACTCCTTTTTATATATTTGTGCTAAATGTAGGAGGATCTGCACACATAGAAATATCGCAGTGGGATTTGCATGTGCCCTTATAATCAATCCTTCCCCATTGGGATATTCTTAAATTATGTAAACTTTTGGAGAGGAAATAGAATATATGTTTCCATGCAATCAGGAGGTTAAAAAAATAACACACTGTTACAATGCTAGTAAGCCACAAACAGATATGGAATGGAAGACACTATGATAGCATGGCCCGACAAAACCACGCACGTCAAAATAGCGGCGACAAAACCGCATCGCTAAAACCGTGACATCATCACCACGACGTCATCACCACCGCGACAACAGCGCGGCGACAGAAGGGCGCTTTAAAATAGCGCGGCGAGAGAAAGCCGATTTAAATTAAGGGAAGGGTTAGGATTAGGTTTAGGGGTTTGGTTTAGGGTTAGGTTAGGGTTAGGTTTAGGTTTAGGTTTAGGGGTTAGGTTTAGGTTTAGGGTTAGGGTTAGGTTTAGGTTTAGGGTTAGGTTTAGGGTTAGGGTTAGGGTGCTGAGCGCTTTGGAAGGCGTGGATTGCCCTCCGCGCTTATGTCGTCGCGCTAGGGTCACCTTTTTCCTTAGCGCTTCGGACGGTGTGGATTTGCCCTCCATGCTTATGTCGGCGCGGATAAGGGCTTTG